GTTGTCCCTGAGGACCAAGCAGGGACAATTCAGGACATGGCCTGAGACAGCCAGATAGATGCCTCCCAGCACACGCAGGGTGGGCTCTCGATGCAGAGAGGCCTGGGTCCCAATCCTGGCTCTGATCCGACCAGCCTTGGGAATGGGCTGCGGGAATCAGGCAGACCATGACGCGTATTCCTGCACGGTGTCATGCCTGGTGAGGGGGGTGGGGGAGGTTCCTGGTGGCACGGCGGGTTAAGCATCAGGCAGCTAACTGCAGGTCAGTGCTGCATACCCACTAGCTGCTCCGGGGGAGAAATCCTAGACCACCGGCTCCTGTGGAAACTCTGCCTGGGAAACGCAGGGGAGCCTCTTTGCTCTGTCCCTGCGGGCTCCTGGGAGTCCGAGTGACCGGTTGACAGAGGGCCTGACTGTGGTCATTTTGTTTGGCAGGAGCTCCTGGGTAGTGACGGAGCACTCCTGGTGATGCAAGGTTTCTGTGCTGGGCTGCGATCCACAGGGTCAGCAGTTTGAAACCACCTGCTGCTCCAAGGGAACATTCTATTCCGATAAAGAGCTACAGTCTCAGAAACCTGTCCTATAGGGTCACTATGAGCCACATTGACTCGATGGCAGTGAGTCTGTTTTTGCTTGGATTTATTGATCTTTTTTATGATGAAAGGCTTACATACTTGGGCACTCCCTGGTTGGTGGATGTGTTAAGTCCACTTAGAGCCACTTTGAAAGAAAGGCCTGGCGATCTACCACTGGATACCCCAGTGCAATGCAGACATCGGGGTGGTCATGAGTCGGATCAAGTCAGCAGCAGTGGGTTCTCAAAGCTGCAGCCTGGCCTGTCTGCTTGGTGGAGAGGGTCGGGGTTCCTGAGGCCAGTCAAGGAACCTGGGTCTGTTCCAGGGGTAGACACAACCCACTGCTACTAATGCACTATTGACTCACAGGGACCCTAGAGAGGTCTTCCCAGCTGTAAATCTCTCCAGGAGCAGAGAGCCTCCATGTCCTCCTGCAGAGCACCTGGTGAGTTTGAACTGCTGGCCTTGTGGTTAGCAGCCCAATGCTTACCTGCTCACCACCAGGGCTCTTCTCCCAGGAATGCAGCCCCCCTAAAGCTGGCTGGCAGGTGGCTTATCCTTGACAGTTCCATGCTATTCCAACGAAAGCCCCTCAAAGCCGCCGTTGGCAGCACCATGTTGGCGATCTCCCCAGCCCTTAACGACTTAATCTGTAGACACTGCCCTGCACCCTGCACACGGCCCCCAAACCCCTCCAATGCACGGGCTCCCTGCTCGGACCCACACGGGAAAGAGAGGTTGTTGCACACCCACCTAGTCCACATTCCATACACAGCCCAGTCCTGCATGGATGGAGAACTGTGTGTTCCAGTCTTGAAAGAGACGCATGGGAAGCTGCACGTGTGCTAGAAACACACCAGCCCATCCTGCATGCATGTGTGCGCGCGCATACACACACAGCAGGAAGGAGAAATGACCGGTGAAATCCAAGTGACCAAGGGCTTCCCCTAGTGTGGTTAAGTGCTGGTGTGAGCCCTGCAGAGGGCCCTAACAATTCGTGGATTTTGCCAACAAAGACATCCCATTCCGTTCCCTGTCTCATGACCACTCCTACTGAGGCCGAGCAGTGGACCCCCATCAGTCTGGGTGTTGGCACCCAGCTCTGGCCCCTCCTCGTCTGAGCATGTGGCCTGCCCAGAGCCACCACGCCCACTCTCCTAATGCAAAGCTGCTTTCAGAGCAGCACAGGTGACAGGAGAGTCAGGGCCTCTGCTCCCCGTCCCCCCAGGCTCCCTGCTTGTGACTGGGTCCTGTCGAGTCCGGTCCAGCTCAAGGAAATGCCCTGTGAAATGATTAGGGACGTTGTCAACTAGAAGCTCCTGGGAGAAGACAGAGGTCGACCTGTCAATCTGATGACGGCTCCTTGAGGGTGTGGCCTTTTGTATAAGAGAGAGACCGCGCAAAGGTGGTCTCTTGTTGGCCCTTAGCCTTCCGCTGGAGGTGGATCCTGCACCTGGTTCACCGATTTCCTGTTGTGCTGCCTGCCAATCCCAGGAGCCATCAGTGGACTATCAACGGTGGATTTATTTGCCTCTGCTTCCAACAGCCTGTGCCCCCTGGCCTCATGCATGACCTTGCAGTTAGCAGCCCACGGTCTAACCCCCTAGGCTGCCAAAAAACCCCACCCAAACTCACAGACATTGAGTCAGTTCCAACTCCTAGGGCAGGGTAGAACTGCCTCTGTGGGTTTCTGAGGCTGTACATTTGTACAGGCGTAGACAGCCTCATCCTCCTGAAGAACAGCTGGTGGCTTTGAATCACTGAACTTATCCTGAAGTGCTCCTGTTAAGACCCTCTGAAGCAGAACTGCCAGGCATGCCGGTAAGAAGTTCTCTGCACTGATTGGTGGCTTCTACGTGGGGCAACCTGGGCAGCTATGAAATGGAATTGACTCCCTGGCAGTAAGTTTGGTTGAGGGGAGCCACAGTGACCCTGGGGCTGGCCTCTGCCATGGATTTCAGAAGAGCTGGAGAGAGGGAGCTTCTAGATACAGCAGCCGGTGCCCTCTGGGCTGTGGGCTGGGCCAAAGCCCAGTGAAGAAGGCAGGTGGTGGGTGGTGAAGGAGTGGG